AAGATACACAGAGCAAGCTGGCCGCGCGAGAGAGCGCGACCAAGGTCGACTTTTTCCCTCTTCGATCGTGTAGCAGAACACTCCACGAGAGCGAGAAAACTCAGCAGGGCAAACCAATGCAAAAAACAGTCGCGAAAGACACACGAAGCCCCTCCCCTACGCATCCAGGGACACCAAGGTGCTTGTCTATAAAGCTATTGTCCTCCCAACCCTGCTATATGCCTGTGAGACGTGGACTGTCTACAGACGTCACATGCAACTCCTGGAACGATTCCATCAGCGCTGCCTCCGGAAAATCCTGCAAATCTCTTGGGAAGACAAGCGGACAAACGTCAGTTTGCTGGAAGAAGCAAAGACCACCAGCATTGAAGCGATGGTCCTCCAACATCAACTCTGCTGGGCTGGCCACGTTGTCCGGATGCCTGACCACCGTCTCCCAAAGCAGTTGCTTCTACTCCAAACTTAAGAACGGAAAACGGAACGTTGGTGGACAGGAAAAGAGATTTAAAGATGGGCTCAAAGCCAACCTTAAAAACTCTGGCATAGACACTGAGAACTGGGAAGCCCTGGCCCTTGAGCGCTCCAGCTGGAGGACAGCTGTGACCAGCAGTGCTGCAGAATTTGAAGAGGCACGAGTGGAGGGTGAAAGAGAGAAACGTGCCAAGAGGAAGGCGCGTCAAGCCAACCCCGACCGGGACCGCCTTCCACCTGGAAACCAATGCCCTCACTGCGGAAGAAGATGCAGAGCAAGAATAGGGCTCCACAGCCACATACGGACCCACAGAGAAATTCATAACGGAAGACCATCTTACTCGTCCAACGAGGGATCGCCTAAGTAAGTAAGTAAGTAAGTAAATACCATCTCAGCACCAACAGTTTTAGTCAAATTTTAAAGGATTTACTATGTTAAAAGTGTGACTGTATTACGCCTTGTGTATTTAAGCTGTTTTTGATTTGTTATTTGTACCTTCAGCATTGAATGTTTGCCAATATATTTTACTTTGCTGTAAGCTGCCCTGAGTCCTCTTTGGTAGATAGGGCAGTTATCTTCCCAAGAGTAAAACTCTTTCTTTAAAAAAGAAAGAGCCCTACAATGTTACAGGTAGACATAATTTTAGTGGTGGGCTTGGTTTCTTGCATAATTTGGTTCCTTTCTTTCCTTTGGGGGCTGTCATTCATGAGAGTAGTTGAATTGCTGAATCTGAAGTCATATGTTTTGAAGGAATGAACAGGAATTTGAATCAAGTAATAAATTTGAAATGCCTGAGTCCCATTTCTCTGGTTTCATACTGAATTGTTCTCTAAGGTATTCTCAAAAGGTGACCATTAATTACAATATGCATTCCTTTTCCCAAGCACAGTGGTATAGGTAAACCACTATTCAATTAATTCGTATTATTCCCAAGACTGCTTTTATGGTATTTGTCACCTTGATTCATTTTGGATGAGGCCCATAAAAAAGAGGTGGCAAACACATTTCCCCTCCCCTCCTCAGACACACAGGAGACTATAAAGTCTTTTTTCAAGGAGTCACATTTTTTTTGAAAAGGCAGTAATTCAAACCACAGACCAATGCTTTTTATGTGCAGTAAACAGACACCTCAGATCCTAGGAAGAAATACAGCGGCATCGGAGTAGCAGGTTGGTCTCAGTAGAATATTTTTTGCTGATTCCAGGAATATCAGTTTGGTTAGAAATTGTTGACATCCTATCCCATGAGAGAGATGTGCATAAGAAATCAGAAACCTGGAGGCACAATTTCTTGACAGTTTTGTTATATTCTAAAAAATATATTAAAGAGTGTTCTACACTCAGCCTACCATTTCAATCTGTCCTGTATATATTGTCAACACGTGCCTAGAAACTTCATAAAGAATCCCTGGCTGTGTTTGCGGTTCTAGCTGTGCCCCAATTTTGATTTGCCTTCTAGCAAAATGGTGCAAGCCATGCAAGTGGCACTGCCATTGTCAGCAGAACCACAAAGCCAAAAAGCCTGTGTTTTTGGCCTTCAGTATTGAAAGGAGAAGAGGGTGCTAAAAAATGGCAAAATGTATGATTGGGGAGGGGAGAATACTCTGGTGCCATCACATGCCATACAAAGAGTCTCTCTCACCATCATTTTGGCAGCAACTGTGTCTCTTTTGGGAACCTTGACCAAGATGCTGAATTTCAATAACAGTTCAGGCTAGAGTTTTCATTCTGATGTGGCCCATGTGGTTGGGAAGGGTCCAATGTGGGCCACACCAAATCTCAAGAATTGGCCCATTCGTGCTTTATTTCTTCTGCATTGTATTTGTGTTCTTTTTTGTTATTGTTGTTCTTTTTTGACACATTTCAGAGCCACTAGACAAGTAAACTTTGCAAGACCCAGCATCACTGGACAAGTCCCACACAAGCTGTATGGGTAGATGTTAAGTTGGGTTTGGGCTTTGTGGGCGTGTGCCCCAGTGAGATCTCCCTTATGTGGGTCAGTGCTGCTAACTAAGAAAAATGAAGGTGGACTTGCTACTTACCACATGTTTCCTCCCTTCTTCCAACTTCCAGGAAAATCTTACATTTTATATTATAATTACCGCCCTCCACATTTGTGGGTTTAACTTTTACAGATCGGAATATTCACAAATATGATTAATATATTCTCTTTAGGGATCTCTAGATCCCCAGAACAATTCCTTGGTTAGCTATCTTTGAGTTATCTTGGAGGACTTTGATATTCTTAGAGAGGAGTTCTCTTAAGGTTAAAAAAGCATTTAAAAAAAGAAAACTCATATTTCCCCACTATTTATGAGTATTCTGTACTCCTTACCCCCACAAAGGTAGAGCATTTTTCTTTTACTTTGTTTTGTCTCTGAGTTATGGGGACCCTCTCCTAGGGTTTTCTTGATGAGATTTATTTCAGAGGAGATCTGCCTTCTTCTAAGGCTAAGAGAATATGATTTGTTCAATGTTTCCAAGGCTGAGTTGGGATTCACTCTGTTTTTTTTCTGGAGTCCTGTCAAAATACAAGAGCCACTACACCCCCCTGAGCATTTTCCTCAGCCTTGGGCCTCAAAAGACCTACAGAAGTGAAAATAGCTGCAGCAAATAACAACAACTTTATTCTTATATCCTGCCACCATCTTCCCGAAGGGACTCGAGGTGGCTTACATGGGGACCAAGCACAACAAAAACAGAAGTAAAATATAGAACAATTAAATTGCATTTCAGTAATCAAAACAATAAAACCATGCAACAGACATAATAAAAATAAGGACATCAATAACCATCAACCAGTAGCTGAGAACAGTGGCCGTGTTGAGATCTAGGAGGGTGGGGCAAGAGTTAGTGCAATACAGCTGTAAGGGTGGGGCTTGTAATAAAGTGGTACATAGCCAGACAATAAGTTAGAGCTAGGGAAACTAGTCAATAGATGAACCGATTAATCAAAGGCACATTGAAACATCCAAGTTTTCAGGTTTTTACAGAAGGTGGACAGGTGGCCGCTAATCTAATCTTCCTGGGGAGAGAGTTCCACAGCCGGGGGGCCACCTCTGAGAAGGCACTCTCCCTTGTCCCTATCAAATGTGTTTGTGACAGAGGCAGGAATGAGAGAAGAGCCTCCCTAGCAGATCGACAGGGTGGGCGCTAATCTAATCTAATCTTCCTGGGGAGAGAGTTCCACAGCCGGGGGGCCACCTCTGAGAAGGCCCTCTCCCTTGTCCCTATCAAATGTGTTTGTGACAGAGGCGGGAATGAGAGAAGAGCCTCCCTAGCAGATCGACAGGGTGGGCGCTAATCTAATCTAATCTAATCTTCCTGGGGAGAGAGTTCCAGAGCCGGGGGGCCACCTCTGAGAAGTCCCTCTCCCTTGTTCCCATCAAATGTGCTTGTGACAGAGGCGGGAATGAGAGAAGAGCCTTTCTAGCAGATCATCAAGCCCGCTCAGGTTCATAGAGGAAGATATGATCGCGAAGATAGTTCGGGTCCCGAACCTTTTGGGGCTTTGTGGGTAATAACCTGCACTTTGAATTGGGACCGGAAACTTATTGGCAGCCAGTGGAGCTGTTTTAGTAGGAGGGTTGTCCACTCCTTATAATTAGCTCCAGTTAGCAACCTGGCTGCCAACCTTTGTACCAATTGCAATTTCCAGGCCGTCTTCAAAGGCAGCCCCACGTAGAGCGTGTTACTGTAATCCAATCTGGAGATAGCACTCTTAACACTCTTTCTTTCCAGGAATTATGGACCACACAAATGCCTTACAAACTACTTGGAAAAGTGTTGTGGAGTGGGGGTTTCTTTTTCCTGGCTCAGAGACCCTTTAGGGGGCAAGGAGAGTGGTGGATCAGTCGTTATGCTTCGTCTTGTAAAATGTGTCTCTGTTTTCTCTTGACCGCAGAGCAGAGTGGCCCAAAGAACAGTTCATCCCGCCCTACGTGCCCCGGTTCAGAAATGGCTGGGAGCCTCCTTTGCTGAGTTTCCTGGGAGCCCCGAAGGAACAGGAGCTCAACCAGTTAGCAGAGTCTGTGGCCAACGTGGCTGAGCAGCAGCGGAAGCAAGAGATGAAACGGTTATCAACTGAGGTAGGAGACAGGCAGCAGTGTTATTTTAAACAGCTTGGCAACATTACATTTTGGAATTACAGTTCCCCAAATCACCCAGCCATGCAAGTTGACGGGTGGGTTGGTGTTTTTGGATTTATACTCCAAAACAGTAATTTTTATGAGCTCGAATTTTAAGTCCAGGTGGGAGGTTTTGCATTCACAAAACAGCTTGTAGAATGGCCTCAGTTCATAGGCCATAAAGCACTTGTATAATGGTTTATGACTGTAATAATACAGGAGAGAACAGTGGTTCTTCTTGCCCTCATTCACAGCCTTCTATGTGGCCTGGCAATCATGGGCTACTGCACTCATTTCAAATGCAGCAGCCAAAACTGCATGACCAAAGGTTGAGGTGGAGCACAGGATCAAGTGGAAATTATTCTCCTCCTTGAACAGAACAAAGAAGGTATTCTAAAGCAAGTTAGAAAATATAACTGGCAAGAATGGCGCATTCTCTTGCCTTTTTGGCTATTCTTTCACCCCTTGGGAAGGAAACTGAAATGTGTATTGACACACATAAACAGTTTTTGCATTCTAGGCAAGCTACTGTAAGACTTAGGACATTAAACAGAAAGAAGAATGTTTTGAAGTGGCATTGCAAAAGGTCCTTCTTTAGCTGCTATGAAAGAGTGAGGGTTAATTGAAGGTCTGTATTCTTTTGATAATAGTATCAAGCATAAGTGGCCACAAAGCTTTTGAACTGAAGAAAAAAAAACAAAGGAAAAGTAAACAGTTCTTGATTATGTTACACATTCCTGACAGTAAAAATCCACAGGCACAGAACTATACAGATATTTGAGTTTTATGTAAGGATTGAAGCAGTTCCTTTTGGTTAGGAGGAAAGTGCTGCTTTGTCATCTGTTTGTTAGTAGATTCAGTTATCAAGTAACTATCTTGACTGTGGAGTTTGACAATAGCGTAGAAAAGTGGTGGAGAAAGTGTGCAGCCCTTGGGGCCCCAGGACACAGCCTTGTAGCCCCCCTGAACACCTACAGCCCACAGCCTTCCCTCCCCAATTTGTGGGAGTGGGTGGGGTAGCGAAAATACATCAAAATGTCTTTGTAGAAAGGGGTCCTTCAACCCAATGTGTAACCTGGATGGGATGAGAACATCGGTGTTCTTCCAGAAATCACAAAAAACACAAGAGTGACAGGTGTTGACATTTTCTGTTCTAGATACATGTGGTAGACTACCTTAAGTGTACATAGATTATGCCGGTTAGGTCAGTGGGTTGAATCTGGGAGGAGCAGGTTGAGCTCCCTCTGCCAGCTTCAACTCCCCATGAAGGGACATGAGAGAAGCCTCCAACAAGGATGTTAAACATCAAATATCCGGGCGTCCCCTGGGCAATGTCTTTGCAGACAGCCAATTCTCTCACACCAGAAGCAACTTGCAGTTTCTCAAGTTGTTCTTGACATGAAAAAAAAAATGTACTCATGTATAAGTCTAAAAATATTAGCCAGGAAAATCAGTCCAAAGAACCTGGGTCAACACATCCATGTACTGTACCATAATTGATCAAAAAAGGAACCACCCCCTTCTCTGAGTAGAGTGGCAAAAGGCAAGATCTTAGTCCATCCTGAGAGAAACTAAACTAAGGCCCCTCTCTGTGGTGCAACAAACTGTTTCTAGTCTTTGCAAAAACCTGGTCAGGAAATGGTGGTGGCACCAGTCAGGGGCTGCTGCCTCAATGTGTTCCTGTGCTTTCCCCTCTCCACAGCATGACCCTTGACTTATCCATGGGCCATATCAAAATCCATAACTTTGGCTCCAAAACCTGCTCTCAACTTACACATGAGGCTGACCTATTCATGAGTATATATGGAAAATTCAATCAAGAGTTCAAGAGACAGATTGCAACCTGTTGCTCTCTTTGAAAATGAACGAAAATGTCAACACAAAAAATCTGTTGTCTTGTTATTTTTTGAAAATGAGCCTCATATGCAGAGGGATCTAACAGCATGAAAAGATCAAGGCAGCGCAGCCTCACCCTGCCACAAGAGCACCGCTTTCCTACAGGGCATCCTTTTTTAATACAGAAAAATACACCCCAGCGTGTGTTAACAGCATACTTGCTGCTGCCATGGTTACAGTGCCTAACCCGGAGAAAGAGGCTTTGAACTGACATCTAGGGAAGTACATCAGAAATTCTGATTCCTGAAAATTATTCGGTGCTTAAGCTACAGTGACATCCACTGTGGGATTTTCCTCTGTCACATGAATAGGTTTCCAGCTTGGACATAATTAACTGGAATTAAATACAAGATGAAGTTGCTTGTTTCCATTGCAATTATTACTGGGGATTTTTGTGCTTTTGCAGTGACTGGGATTGCACTTGGGTCTACAGTCACATCCATAGGTATATATGCCAGCTGGTTTTTCATGCACCTTGGGTGCCACAACTAGTGTAATCTCAAGTAAATTTGTTGCATAGATCATAGAATCATAGGGTTGAAAGAGTCCTCATGGGCCATCCAGTCCAACTGCCTGCCAAGAAGCAGGAAAATTACATTCAAAGCACCCCCAAAAGATGGCCATCCAGCCTCTATTTAAAAGCTTCCAAAGAAGGAGCCTTGACCACACTCCAGGGCAGAGAGTTCCACTGCTGAACAGCTCTCACAGTCAGGAAGTTTTTCCTAATGTACAGATGGAATCTCCTTTCTTGTAGTTTGAAGCCATTGTTCCGCATCCTAGTCTCCAGGGCAGCAGAAAACAAGTTCGCTCCTTATGACTTCCTCTCACATATTTATACATGGCTATCATGTCTCCTTTCAGCCTTCTCTTTTTCAGGCTAAACATGCCCAGCTCTTTAAGCTGCTCCTCATAGGGCTTGTCCTCCAGGCTCTTAATCATTTTAGTTGCCCTCCTCATAGGAGATTCAATATCAAGGGCAATGTGTATCCCTTTTCGGAGAAACACATGCATATCCACAGCAACATTCCCCACTTTAGAACAAATTATAGAGGTCATATTGTCTGAACCCAATATTTTACTAGCAGCCAATCACATTCCATCATATACCTAGGAGTACAGGAATGTCTTAAATGTAGCATTGCAAGCTGGGATTGATAGATGTGACAGAATATCCACAGGCACCTTTTACAGTACTAGATTTTTGTAATCTCTGTATCGAACAAGGGTTGTATGAGCCAGTCTTTGGGGTAAAAGCAATCATACTGGTGCACAGGGACCTTATTGGTAACCTATAATGAAAAAGCTATTGATGATTTTATGTGGTTAACAGAAAATCCTTTTTGTTTTCTCTCTTTCAGCATTCCAGTATCTCAGATTATCCTCCGCCTGAAGGGTATGCATTCAGTAACACAGCTTACAAAAGAGGGCCCCTGCCGGACCAGGGGACGGCCGTAGCTGCTTTTAAGCAAAGTGTTAGCCGACATGTAGATAGGTAACATTTCAACAAAAGTTGTCTGTAAAGCTGTGGAGAACTGTCCCGACGGGCTGCTTCTAGGGTGGAGGTGCCTATTTTTTTCTGTACCACTACTTTTCCTTATAGAAGTACATAATCCTCTCTGTTTTAGATCTAATGCTTAAATTATTTTTTTAAAGTGACTCTGATAAGTTCTGCTTGTACACATTGCTATCAATTTGGGGTTCCCAGAAGAAATTGAAAATTGAATTGGTGGCTGGAACCTTGTATCACTTTTGAACAACGAGCTCCCTTGATTATGGTGTAAATCAACAGTGGGTCATACATTTTCTCTGGGGATGTAGCTGTCAACTTGCACCAAAAGAAAGATTCTTGCTGCATTTCCTGGAAATCTTGTTACAAGGAACTACTTTCACTCCACTGAAGCAAAGTGAGAACAGAGATTGAAAGTGTTTCTTTGTTGGATTATAGTTCCAAGAATCTCCCAGTAATCATGGCTACTGGAGGTTCGTTAAACTGTAGTTCCCAAAGGTCCCTTTTTCAAAATTCCTAGTGAAAAAGTTAATACCCTATGAATTTACAAAATAATAATCTGCATCAGACTTCTTAAAGGAAACAGGACTCATGATTGCCTTCTTTCTCTTCTGGATTACTGCCATTGTGCAAATTTTGAAGATCATTAGGAAAAAAGGAGCCTTGTGGCACAATGCGTTACACCCTTGTGCCAGGTGAACTGCTGACCTGAAGGTCAGTGGTTTGAATCCATGAGATGGAGTGAGCTCCCATCTGTCAGCCCCAGCTTCCCATTCAGGGATGATAAAACATCTGGGCGTCCCCTAGACAACAACATTGCAGATGGCCAATTCTCTCGAACTTGCAGTTTCTTGAGTCGCTCCCTACACTCAAGCACACACACACACACACAAATAGGAAAATGTATCCCTGGTTGCTTGTACTACTACTACTTTGCCATGATTGGTGATCTAGCTGTGGTGTAGCTCTCCTATCTGCACAACATTTTGGTGATTCTCTTTTCCTGCACCATATAAATTCCTGACAGGTGCCTTTTCAGAATGTCCCACACTTTGTGGTGAAGTGACTTTAAAATGTCTTACTGATATCTAATCTTTATTATCGTTCATTCCACAAAGCAATGATTTGACATAACTACGAGTCTTTCTCCTCCTTGAGTCCTTGGAGGAGAGCCATACCAGGTAGCACTGCAGATTTCAGGCAGTGCCAAAAAGTAACCGCACACAGGGTGCTTCCTAATGCATGTTCTATGGTGTGATTTGACATGTTGTGAACTGTCCAGATTTGACCTCAGAGTCACCAAACCAAATTTTTGCCTTGAGCTCCCTCTTCCCATTCCTGCCACTGTACCTGTTTCTCAATCTTTCTTCCCTTTTGTCTCTCAGATTTAGTCTGCCAACATCTCCTCCCTGCCAGCTGATGGTATGCATTTCATTTTGTAACACAACACTTTAAAGACAGAGCTTCACATAAAATAGCACACATTCACAGGTTTCCAAGACTTGCACCATGAAATAGTTGCTTTTTTTTTTGAACTACAGCTCCCAGAACATCCAGCCATCATGGCCACAAGTCATACTAGCTAGAGGAAGTATTCAGGAAGTTCTATTGCAAAAGAAGTAATTATTCTGAAGTGTGTGCAAACAAGCTCTTGTGTGGCACTCTTCTTTTGCCTAGCTCACACTTAGGGCCCATTTACACTGCCATATAATACAATTTCAGAATGCAGGTTATCTCCATTGAATTGGTTTATATGGCAGTGTAGGCTCATATAATCAAGTTCAATTTGAATTACATAAGTCTACACCAACCATTATAATCCAGTTCATTATATGACAGTGTGAATGGGGCCTTAAATACTAGGTTTTCCTAGATGTTAGAACTTGAGAAACTTTTTTTGTTTTTTTCATAACACCATTATGGATGTTATAATTCAAAGAAGTAACTCTAGACCTAGGCAATCTCCCAGGCATTGACCAGGTTTACTTAGTGCCAATAAGATTGTTTTAGTATAATTTGTACTTGTGTATCTATCTCGCTTTTTCCTCAATTTATTTATTTATTATTTATTTATTAGATTTATTTCTATCCCATCCTTCTCAACCTCTGAAGAGGGATTCAGGATGGTTACCAACAAGCATTATTCAGTACCAAACAATAAATAACATAGCATAAAACACAATTAGCATAAATTAAAACAATTATAAATATACATTAAAACAATTCGCTGTTTCAAATCATCATCCAAATCAATCCATTTCCGTCCACTAAAAACATCACCTTACCAGCAAATCAGTCTATTCTGCAAATGCTTGATCTCACAACCAGGATTTGAGCTTCTTCCGGAAAGTCATGAGGGAGAGGGCAAATCTGGTCTCATTAGGGAGGGAGTTCCACAGCCAAGGGGCCACCACTGAGAAGGCCTGAAAGTGGTTTACAAAAATGAAAAAGCCTTATTTATAACCTGGGATGCAAGGCAGAAAAAGCCAGAAAATTACCATAAAACGCATATAGTTAAAACATATCAAATTGAGATTTTAAACAGTATTACATAACAAAATTAAAACCATTTATGGCACCATTAAAAGTTTGTTAGTAATCAGGTCCCATCACTTTAAAAGTCAGGTCATAACTGTCTGACCAAAGGACAAGAAGGTAGGATTTGTCTAAGGGCCCTTCCGCATAGCCATATAACTCAGAATATCAAGACAGAATAACCCACAATATCTGCTTTGAACTGGGTTATCTGAGTCCATGCTACCATATATCCCAGTTCAAAGCAGATAATGTGGGATTTTATTCGACTGTGTGGAAGGGGCCTTAGTTATCCTAGGAGGGATTTTAAAGTCTGGGTGCAGCCACAAAGAAGGCTCTCTCTCATATTTTTCTCAACCATGCCTGTGAAGATGGTTGGGATAGAGATCTCAGAGCTTGGGCAAACTCAGATAGTCTCCTTCAGATAGTCTAGACATGAGCTACTGATAAAAGTTCACATCACATATAAAATGAAATTTAAAAAAACAGTAGGATTAAAATAATTTAAAAGTATAACAATTACAAAGGAAGAAAACTCAAAATATAGACAACAATGTACATCAATACAAATATTTTCCCCATGACTTACATCATATGTTTTCAGACCTTGTCCCGGGACCAACATGATCGTGCTGCACAGCCTCATTCATGAATAGCCCTCACTCAGTGAAGCCAACAAATACCCATTGTGAATCTTGCCAGGTTGTTATTAGATATTCCATTATGTCACATGATCCACTAGGTGAACATGAAAAGGAGGTGATTTAATGGAGTCTGTCTTCTGAAACTGGTTGTCTTCTGAGAGTGTGCAGTGCATAAACTGATGTTCACACTTCATGCTCTTCCTGTCTTGACAAATAGTGTCCTTTAGTTCTGTGTGCCTTCTATTCAGACACATAAATTTCAATCTCAGCATTGTGGACCTCATTTATCCAAATGGGTTGGGATCAATATGAGACAGTGCAGAATTAGCAAACTGACCAAAGGATTGGGGGAAGTGGGATTTTTACTTGTATTGGCTCACCTTCATATAGGGTTATCTTGGCCACTGCACTGGGGTCAGACGCCTAGAACTTTGGATAACTGAGGTTCAATCAATATGAACTTTTTGGTATCTTTCTGCTCCTCTCTTCAAGTAAGTTGTGACAGTTCTCCACAGCCAGTCAAAAGCTAGGTAGCTACTGGAGCACCCAAAAGGTGTGTTCAGAATCAGTAGTTGGCAATGGATTAACACCTCACAAATCCATTCCTTTCTGTACTGGGAATCCATTCCATTTCTATACAGTATTTCACTGCCAATACATTATGATTTTTGTTTGTTTTACTATGTATTCATATGAGTATTATTTGTCATTGTATGCATGTATAATTGTATCTGATGATATGATGAATGGATCTAACACTATTCATTTAAATGAAAAGCACTTAGAAAAGTTACTTTGGAAATGGCAAGAGCCATAATTCCCAGTCAGGTTGGACACATTCTATGATTGTGGAGATTTCTGCAAGTTGTTGGCCAAAAAGGAACTTTTCCAAGGTCTGACAAAACATTATAATTTTAAATTAACAGATGCTTCCTCCATTGTTTAAAATAATAATCAGAGTGCCCTTGTTTGGATTCTGAAGACAGATATCTGTCATGAAAAAGCAAACCTATTTGGGTTACAATGGGTGGCTTAGATTATGGAGAAGAGCTCTTTGGCAAACCTTTGCATTCAAAAGTAATCCCAAGTAATCACAAATTTCTCCAGCTAGGACCAGGAGAGAGTCCTCTCTCAGCCACCCAAGTGGACAATCTTGTATTTTAGAATATTTTGGAATTGGAGTTAAGGGATGCTCAACTTGTACCAGTCAATATAGACAATGATCCCAGGGGTTCAGACAAAGCTTGAACATACTTCTGTTTCGGATTATAAATGACTTCCTTACAGTAGTAGCATCCTGCTTCTAATAAATCCTACAAATTCAGGAAAAATACCCCCAAAACTCTGAAATTAAAGTTTTGAATGCCCTCTGGAAAGTATGACCTAACTTTAAGGTTAAATAGCATCTGTGTAATATGGTTCTCATTGTAATGTCGAAGGCTTTCATGGCTGGAATCACTGAGTTGTTGTAGGTTTTTTGGGCTGTATGGCCATGTTCTAGAAGCATTATCTCCTGACGTTTCACCTGCATCTGTGGCAAGCATCCTCACAACCTCTGAAAATGCTTGCCATATCAGGAGAGAATGCTTCTAGAACATGGCCATACAGCCCGAAAAACCTACAACAACCCATTTATACCCTTTTGTTATCACAGCATGGCACTGTTTTAGTGCAATACAATTGCAATTTCAAAATTTTATAGCAAAAACTATCATCTTCATTGAATGACTAGGATGTGAGCAGAGACACACACACAAAGTTTGCCTTCTTGTTTAAATCCTTTCATTGTGCCACTGAGAGCATATGTTTGGATCTGTAAGAACAGATCTATGTATACCAACTGAGTGCTTACAATGGATTCAGTGGTTAGTAACCCGGTTGCCTCTTCCCAGCTTTTGTTTTTGGTTTTTGGTTTTGCTTGTGTAATGGCTGGCTGCCTTCCTTTCATGGTAGTAAACTTTGGTAAATCATCACCCCTAATTATATTTGCTAGCAGGCAAGGCTTGCTCTTTCACTCTCCTCTGGTTCTGCCTTGCTGCAAATTGCAGCCAGAGTAATGTTTGTCTTGTTTGTCTTGTAGAAATTATGAAGCACATAAAAACCCATCCAAGAAATATGCCAAAACCAACTATGACTTTGTGGGAAGAAACCAGAGTGAACTTTCTGTCTTGAAGGATGAGATTTTAGAGGTAATATATCTATTTTGACACAGTCACTTCAAGAGTGTTCTGCCAGGCATACATAGATTTCTTGAATCATCTTCCCAAACCAATTTATCTGCCTTAAGAAAATTCTTTATTGATTTGGATTGGATTAGTTGAGTTTCACAGTCTTGGGAAAATGAGTAAATGGGAACATAAGCAGCTGTCTAATAATGTTTGTCCATTAGACCAGAGTTGTCTGTTTGGCCTGGAAGCAGTTCTCCACATTTACTGTGTAATGGTTTGATGTTGGCCCAGGAGACTCACTGAGTGACCTTGGGCAAGTTACACTTTCTCAGCCTCAGAGCTAGGCAGTGTAAAAATCCCTCTGAACAGTTCTTGTCAAGTCAATCCAACCCTAGATTTGTCTTAAGGTGGCCACAATATGGAAACAAAGACACACAGCAATGGCAATTTGATCAAACAAAACAATAGATAATATTCCAGGCAGCAGCAGATAAGTTAAAATTATCCCACTGTCAAAAGTGGCCCAAAGCCAGGAAAACCATCTTTACCTGCCAACCAAAGGTTAAAAAGTTTGGTAACAGATGAACAGGGGAAAAGGAGAAAGCTGCATGAGTAGATGTCCTTTCTATCAGCATGATAGATAAGACCTCCAGTCCATAGGCATTCCTCATTTGATATGCCACATTTTTGCTCTTACAAGAGACAAGAGACTTACAAGAGGCTCTTACAAGCACTGTCATTCAAAGCAGACAATATGTGGCTAAATAGACAAGTAGTCCAGCCTATTACCTACCTGTCTCCCTATTAGTGAGTTGAACAGTTGAACAGTATTTGCTTTCTTCCAGATCCTTGATGACAGGAAGCAATGGTGGAAAGTCCAAAATGCAAACGGAGTCACGGGATTTGTGCCAAACAACATCTTGGAGCCTCTCCGAACTCAGGAACCTGGTGCTGCAGAAATGCCTTATACACATACTATACAGGTATCCCCAGTTTGTTTGTTTATTTATTTATGATATTTCTGTTCTGTCTTTCTCAAGCTCAAAGGCCTCTCAAGGCAGCTTACAAACTGGTCTTTTGGTCTTTAGATAATTCATGTCAGAGAGCTATGTAAATGAAATTCATTGGATTTGGATTTCTGCATGAAAATATGCTTTTTACACCTCCCAGCAACACCTACAAAGTGGAAGTCAGCACACTTTGGAAAACATGTGCATTTCTAAAACTTTAAGAGAGGGGGGGGGAACCATTTTAGAAGCAAACAATGTGTATAAGGCTGTTTTTTCAGTTCATGACAAAATCTGAACATTTGAGCAATGTATGTAAACATCCTTAAGTCACTGAAAAAAGCATGAAAATTAGGTATATTAGAAAAATGTGTCAGAGAGGATGTGCATAAAAACATGCAAACATTTCTGTAGGGAAGGGTGGGGGATCTCACACCCTGATCTCACAATTCTATGTGGAAATTGATTGGATCAAAAATGTTATTAAGAAGCTTGATAATAGTGGGGCTGATAGATGTATACATAGCTAGGCTTAAATATCCTAAGGCACCAGATCCCAGCTGATCTTTGAAGCTAAGCTGGATCATCCTGGGTATTTGGATGGGAGATCACCAACAAAAGCCAGTTGCTATATGCTGTATTTCAGAGGAAGGAAATGGCCAACCACTTCTGAGTATCTAATATTATCCAGCCACTTAGGACCTTTTTTGAAGCCTTTACTTCTCCAGCCTTACCTAAACAGACATAGTTGAATGTCATTTAACTTGTCAAAATGTGGCCAGCATGATTTTCCAGGGTGGAAGAACTGCTACTTGTCCAGTGACAGGTATTTTCATTTGTGGCAGACCTGTTACTATTTTAGTTTATTTTATAGTTACAGGAGACTGTGCTGGAGAGCATGCTATTTCATTGGCTGGTGCCTTGTGACATTCTGAGATGTGTTTTTTAAAGTGATACAAATAATTATTTTGTTACTATTTAAGAACATGAAAATAAATAATTGCTTTTTTGGTGCATTACAACTTTGGGAACACTTTGGAACTGAAACTGTTGCAGTTTTTGAACAGTTATTTTCAGAGCACAGCTGATTATCATGCAAATGCAAAGTACATTCAGTTTCTTTTAATGCTGAATTGATTCTCAGCACCATAACCTAGAGTCTTTATAGTGTTTGTTTTTAGCTTGGAGGGATTCTGTGGTTTCTCGCCATCCATTTCCCTGCTATCATTTCCATTGTATTGTCTCTGCTTTTCCATTTATTTTAATTTTGAATGCTTGTCATACATTACCAGCTGTTGATGCCAAAGAGGGAATTTGAGTTATTTAAGGTAGGGTGTTTCTTCCTCATCCCAGTTCCCTTGGGGAGTGTGAACCATGATGTCTGTTGATGTTTGCATGTGCGTGCATTTGCTAATTTTCTAGTTTGGAATTCCCGAGGAAGATATCTATAAGACTTTAACTGCACAGAATAGTTTTTGTGCATTGTGTAGCTTTTGTGTGCTATTAAAATTATTTGGGTCTTAGAACTTTGGTGTAGATTTGCTAATTGACTGGCATACATTCATCTTTGCTATACAGAACACAAACCCATAACATCTATACAGCAATGTGTATGGGTGACCGGTAAGAGCAGAAGTGGAACAAACATGTAAACTTCTAGATCAGTGGTTCTTAAACTTTGGTCCTCCTCGTGTTTGGATTTCAGGATGTTTAATCCATTCTCAACTAAAGTAGGTACTAAACTGGATAATGAATTAATTCAACCCATATAATCATTGACTTACATTCTGCATTTGATTCAGTGACTCTAGTTGGGATTAGTAATTGGATTTAACCCACAGAAAGGACAATCAGGAGGCACGATTTCAGAATTGGGTCAAGGGCCTATATGTTAAACTGTGGCAAACAGTAGCCCTGTCATGTCTTGGTTGGTTTGAACTGAGTGAAATGAAGCATGCTCGACAGTTTGCAGTGTTCTTTGCTGTGTTCTTTGCTGTGACTTTTGCACTCAGTCATCTTGGATAATAAGGAAGGCTACATCAAAGTCATTCTGCTTGAGATATGTTTTGCTTAATTGGAGCCCCAATACAAAACAGACCAGACTTAGAGACAGATAACGTTCTGTTTTGAAGCAGCAATTTCATGGAGTCATATAATTATAGAATCTTCAAGTTGAAAGAGGCTGCAAGGTCCATCTAGTTCAATTGCATATCATGCAAGAATACACAATTACAGCACTCCTGGCAGCTGTCCACCCAACGTCTTTTTAAAAAACCTCTCTAAAGATGGAGAGTCCATCACCCTCACTTTTATTTATTTATTTACTTACTTACTTACTTCACATGTATACTGCTTTTATCACCCTGGGGGAGACTCAAAGCGGTTTCCAACATATTTAAGGCAAAATGTAATGCCTCACATACATATAAAACCTAACATAAAACAACAAAAACATATACCTATCAATTAGATCATAAAAATGTAAACATTAAAACGTAGAGTTAAAAACATATTAATATAAACATTAAAATCACATAATTCTATAATCCTGGTCCATGGCTGTTCCAAATATGAAATATCAGTTTATCTCACTATTGAATTGTTTTTACGGTCTTCCAAATGTTAGATAGAATGTATTTTCTTATATTTTGAATTGACTTGTAATTTGAATCCAGAAAACAAGCTGTCTACATATTTTACATGACATTCCTTCAGATAGTTAAAGATGGTTATCATGTCACCTCTCAGCCTTCTCAAAGCTAAACATACACAGTTCTCCAAATCATTTCTCATAAGGTTTGGTTTCTAGTCCTCTCATCATCTTGATCACCCTTCTTTGAACATGTTCCACCTTATCTATGTTCCTCTTTCTTATAGTTCCTATTGTTAATGTTTTTAAAATTGCTTACTTCTGAAACAAACTAAAAAAATAATTTAGATAAGGCAAGCTCTGGATGACCTGCCAAAGAACAGAATTAAGAAATGGTTCCATCTTTGATACACAAAGATCTGGATCTGAGAAGAATCCAGCAGGAAGATTATGTAGAAGCCTGACTTGAAAAATAGGAAGATTTTTTAAGGTGAAAAATGTATAGTTTTATTTTTAAAGCAAATACATCTCTACTTCCCATTGCCTCCCAATCTGTCTTCTCTGTGGTGGTAGATGACCCAAGCTGCAGAACACAAAGTCCCATCCTGCCAGGGACCAGCAGGATGAGACCTCACTTCTTCTTCCTGTCCCCATGAGCACAAGATGGACAGAGAGGAAGTGCCAGCATCACAGTAGTGTCTTGGGCTCTAGTCCTTTATTTGCTCCAAACCCTCCTTGTGGAAAAGGAGAGGAAGAAAATAGAATCTGTGTTGTGTTTCTTCTTGAAATACCACAAAGCTCCAAGCACTTGAGTAATGTCCTTATCCTGGAAAAAAGGAAGCAGGACTGGAATTTTCTGTTAGTTAATATATAACAGTCTGATGAGCCACACAATTGTGATCCACTTTAGCAGAGAAGGGTGCCTTAATGATATATTCTTGTAGGTTTACATCATCATCAACAACACCCAAGAAAAGGTAGTTTTCGATATGTGTAATTGGATGTAGGCCTGCCAGGATTTGAGTTTTCTAAGGGGTTTGCTCACTGTTAGGTCAGTTTGTATATCATTTGCTCCCTTCTGGTTGTAGCCAAAAGAGTTGTAAATAAATCAACCAAGAGACTTCTTAACCACATTAGAGTGGGTCAGGTGATATCCAATATTCCCTCCAAATAAATCCCATTCAGTCTTAATTTTATCTAAAATGGAAAAAAGGACTCTCTAACTCCAGAAAGCTGGAGTGTAACCTATAGATATATTTAAATATGGCTTTGGGAGCATTTTTTTATCCCATACAGATCAACATGTGAGTGGCATGGGACAAATATAAGAGTAAACATACCTAAAAGGGGAAAACAGCTGACTCTGTCCATCCTTAGCCTCAACATATGGTTCAGCATGTTGCCTTTTTGCCCTTTAATATTGGCACTGCTTATATGACCATTGTTTAAAATTACTATGATCATTATTGTTCATTCCTTTGGGTGAAAAGGCCTCGGCCATTAATGCTGATATGCAAGCTATCTGTGCCAAGTTTGGCTTCCTGAGCACTGTTGCCTTGCACATTCTTTGGACTCTACCATGAAGCCTCCTTCCAAGTATCTTTATTTAGCAATTTGTAGCAAATGGCTCTCTGCGGGAGCACAGCTTCTCTTTCACACACGTTTCTCAGGCCCAGGTCTGCTGCCAGCATCTGCCATCCCAACACAATTATCTCTTGCCAAGTGCCCTCTTTCCTTTTTCCCAAGCCACTTTCCTTTTCTCCATTGCCTGGGAAATATGTCACAATGAGGGGATCCGCATGGACAGGTGCTCCTTCTGCACTTGCCAGAATTGCTGCTCCGTCTTTGCCAATAATTCTTACAGTAGCATTCTGGCTATGAAGGGAGAGCTTTGTTTTCAGTAAAAGCGTGGTTCTGTTGTGAGCCCATTGAGTTGCCTTTCCTTATTTTTCTAGAATAAAGAGATTAAGCCAGAGGAAGTGACTCCACTTTTGAAAACAAAATAGTAGTGGCCACTGTACCCAAGTTCACATGGGGATTTTCCTTTGTCAGAGTTGTCCACACGATTGTGAGAAAAATGAAGCAGTAAATCCACTTGAACTGGGCAGACGAAGGAGTGTGGGGTCAGAGGTTTCCGCTGCAGAAGAATAGAGCTAGGAAATGTTACTTTTTTGGACTATAGCCCCCTGCCCCCCAAATCAGCCACTCAACACTGCCAGTTGGCCATGCTAACTGGAAGGTACAGGAAGAAGAAGGCCAAAAAAGTAACTTTTTGGCAGTAACATTAAATGGAGCTAAGGGAAAAAAATGTGATGTAATGAAAATTATGCGTAGTTCACCTTTTACCAGTCCACACACTGTCTTGCCATAGAAATAAAAGTATGCC